GTATAACTTTATGAACTTTGATATATGAAAATAGGTAAAGAAGAACAGTGTTTGATGGTTATGAACACACAAGATGACTTTGTGCTGCACTGCTTTGCTAAATGTCACGTTATTTTCTCATGAAGACACAGGCTCTTTCCTTATTTCCTTACATATCATAATTTAATTGGCATTTTATCTTTTGCTTCAGGGGATTGCAAATGCATGCAAAGTCCCAGCAACATTTGTTTCTGGGTTGACTGAATCTGAAAAAGTTACTGAATCTGAGCAACAGTTCAGTGAAGAACAAGAATTAGAACAACTCTTAAATGGGGAGATTTGCTTTAAGGTTTATCCATTTTCAAGTGGCTTGTCTAATGAAGAGAGGAAAGTAATACTTTCTGGTTCATTTAATCCATTACATGATGGTCACCTCAAGCTTTTGGAAATTGCAACTAGGTACATGAACACATTTCTGTTATTGTTGACTTATTTTTCTTTTATTTTCTAGTTAGTCATGTTTTAAGTCTTTTAGACATTCATATTGTTTCCACCAACTATTGATCTTTCATGATGGGTCACTCTTTCCTTGAAAAACTTCAATAACTGGCTATATATATAGATATTCATGTTCCAAATTAATAGAAAGTGATGAATTTGGGTTCTGCTAGTATTTTCATAAAAAATATGATTCTGTAGATACTATAAAGCTTCTCTAATTTTGAATTCTCAATTTAAAGTATTTTTAAGGGCTAAAATTGTCTTTGTATGATATAATGATATATGAACGTGCTAGACGTATCTTGAGCAAAGGTCTGCAGTATCAATGCATATACTACAAATTATAAAAATGGTGAGAGGTTAATAAATATGTTATGGAAGGGATGATGATTTTCCTAATAAAAGCTCTTATATATTTGGATTTAACATTTGCATGTGCCTGATGTTATATTTGTTGCACGCTGAAAATTGCCAGCCATGAAGATATCTTTCATCAATAACTCATTCTTTTTGTAGCATTTGTGGCGATGGTTATCCATGCTTTGAAATATCAGCAGTCAATGCGGACAAACCTCCATTGTCAGTATCCCAAATCAAAGATCGTGTCAAGCAATTTGAAAATGTTGGTATGTTTGTTTTTTTAACTATATGTTTTATGTGGATTTAAGATGTGTTCAACACGGTATTTCTTCTGGTTGTGTGGTTGTGTCAATCTAAGTCACAAAGATAATATAAAAATCTCTAAATAGCCATATCCTGCTTTGGTTGCTTTTGTGAAATCACTGACGTTTTGAAAAATTGAACATCATCTGCCGACAAACTTTAATTTAAATGTTTAATTAATGCAACAACAGAACCAAACAGGAACCCTGAGGCATTGTTTCTTTGTGCTGGAGGCTATCAATAACCAGGCCTTGCTAATCTGGCAGTTTGGACATTGTGAATGAAAATGATTCTGTTAGTCAAAGGCCTGTATGACCAATGATGTTTTTACAGCTTGCATACTTTATTTATACTGTGTGGAAATTCAGTGTTTTATAACATTTTCTTTCTTTCTTTCTTTTGTTAAGAGTGTGTAGTATGCAGTGTTCCCCATGATCTTTAATTTTCTGTAGTTTGAAAGTTTTGGTCCCCCTTTAACTATGGTTGTGATATTGAAAATTACTTTAAGTATTGAATTTCTTTAATAGTAAACCTTGCGTAGAAGTATTAGCTGAACTTATTTGATTATGTATCCTGGCATATTAATAATTTTGGTTTGAATGGCAGGAAAGACTGTAATTGTTTCAAATCAGCCTTTTTTTTATAAGAAAGCTGAACTTTTTCCAGGCAGTGCTTTCGTAATCGGTGCAGATACAGTAGCGAGACTTATTAATGTATGGAACTTAAAATCAATTTTAATTCATTTTGTTACCATTTGCACTGTATTTATTTGTTAGGGTTGAAGACTTTACAGATTTAAGAATTAAAAGATATTGAAACTCAGAAGTTAGGCTATTATGTGGCTCTTGAGACACTTCATAAATTGCCCCAGATAAGTGGTGCAACAAAAATGTAATTCAATGCTAGAAGTTTGTAGGTAATTGTTACTACAAGCAGCTTGGTTTGAGGGGCTGCTAATACTACAACCACTCTGGAACTTTTTTCTTATTTATTTTTGGGAGGTTGGGATAGGGAAGGAGAGCATGGTAATATGGGAAAAAGCAAATAATAATTGAATGCTGAAACCTTACCATGGAGGTGGCTTAGAATTAGATCGCAAAAATTTATATATTTGTATTAAATTCTGTTTGAGTGGAAGTATTGCTAAATATATTAGCTGATCTTCATTGTTTGTTTTTAATTGCTGTTTCAGCCTAAATATTACGATGGAGACTACGGGAAGATGCTGGAGATACTGATTGGATGCAAGAGAACAGGATGCACCTTCCTTGTTGGTGGCCGTATTGTGGATGGTGTTTTCAAGGTTCGTTTACACATTGGAAAACTCGCAAATTCACCCGTGCATTTTTAATGTTTCATAGTTCATTACATAAATTTTTTAAATGCCAACATATGACCTTTCTTCTGCAGGTTCTTGAAGATTTTGACATACCAGAGACATTACAAGATATGTTTGTCCCAGTACCAGCAGAAAAATTCCGCGTGGATATTTCCTCCACTGAAATAAGGAAAAACCAAACGTAATTTCTTCTGTAACAACCGTTATTCAACACAGGCGTTGTTCAGAAGAAATTACGTTCTGCAGTTTTTCCTTATTTCAGTAGAGGATATATCCATGTGGAACCTTAAACTGTTGCTAGAGAAGAAGAGTCCATTGCTGTATATAGATTGAAACCTCAGTGAAAATACAAAGAATGCAGCCACAGAGTTATTTCTTCCTGTGACCATATCTGCCATTGACAGTTTCGGAATTGGTTTTTCTAATAAGCTCTTTGTCGAAATTATCTCCTGTTAATTTCGAAATTTCACCTATTGTTTTCGTTATCGTAAATCCTCTTCCGATACCTTTTTCTGGATAAAAACTCAATCCTAAATCTTTATCAATTCTACTTCTAAAAGATTATTCTCTCTTGCCATTTTCCTTTTGGGTTTTAAAGTTGAGTTTCTATAGATAGTTTCACCGGTGAAGAAGTGGCTGCTTTTGTAGGTAAACTTTGGTGTGTTTGACCAAATTACTTAAACCACAATAATTTGAAAAGATATAAAAGAAAAATAGAAAGGAGATAAGAATCCTTTGGCTCTGATCTATGCCCTTTTGATTTTCACTACACCAAATACATTTTGATATTTGACAAGAAGCCGCCGTATTCTGACACAAATAATATTATAATCGTCGTAATCTTACTGTAACTGTAACTAAAACTGTTACATCAACCCCCTCATCTCTGCAACTAAAGCTTTCCTATCAACTTTTTCTGAGGAGTCAACCCTGACTAGATGACTAAATTATTTTTCATCCTGGAGAGCTGAAGATGAGGTTCATCCACCGCAGCCGGCGCCGCAGCCCGCAGCACAATTGGAGCCATAAGCTGCATCAGCATTTGTAGCAGAATCTTTGTCCTTGGAAGCACCTCCAGCACAAGAGAAAACAACAGCTGAAATTATAGAAAGAGTTACCAGAAATGCCCACAAGAGAAACGCTACAGTGCTTCCATCTCCATCTTCTCCCTCTTTTATCATCATCATCATCATCTCTTTCAATTGCCTCATTATTTTCAACCTCTGACCTCTCTTCCTCTGTGGAAAATATACAGAAGGGAGAGTGTATACTTGTCTTGTGGGGGTAACAAACAACTACCAACTCTCGATATTATAAAACAACTTTGGACAGTTGATATTTTTTAGGGCAATTTTCAGATAACGCTTCAGAAACATAACGTGTCACTTCAGGAAAGTGCTTTTGGTTTTTGATGGAATCACAAATACAATGGACAATATATTATATTTGTTGTATTCTTTATATGTGCATATATATAACTGGCTACCATGGACATTTCCATGAATGCAAGCAACGACCTAGTCCAAATCTTATCCTATCCCAAGCCAGTTTTGTTGACAAATAAAGAAGGGTTTTGTTGAAATAAAATAATTACCTTCAACTTCCCTCTCAAGTTTATTGAATTTCAATAAATCTAAACCCCTCTTTTTTTTTTTTTACTTTTTAATGAAAAAAGGCATCCAAACCAGTTTACACCCACATTAGCACATCATCTCATCGTTATGATCAACTGTTTAAATTTTAAGAGTCAGAGATTCAAACTATGTGTTTTAACCACACATCCTAGCAGTCGTCCCACCGCTTGAACTATGCAAGAGTGCCTAATAATTAGATTATCGTATTTAATCCAATATAGGATAACATTACAAATCGAGTAAATAATTTAATCTTGAATGTCAAGGATTCCGTAGTTTTTGGCTTCTTGCAACTAGCTAGTCAAGGGAGTTAAATTAATCAATCAGAAGACGAATGAAATGAGTCTTACTGTTCACATGGGGTTTAATTTAGTTGCTATATTTTTCATGCATTTATATATGTGTGTGTATTTCACCAACCATGCTTTTATGAATATTATATATGTAATATGCCATTTCTGCATGAAACGTCGGCTTATTTATAAGTGGAAATTGGAGAATGGAGCTAGGTTGAGTACCTTCACTTATTAAATATATATAATGAATATAATAACTCAAGCAGCTCGTAGTTGACTTCATAGAGGCTTTTTGAGTTCATAATTCATCAATAATTATTTAGATAATATTACTTTAAGGTTTTCAACAGTCATCGTTTATCCAATAAACGTAATGAATGGGTTGGTGGTGATGGTGATAATATATAAATATTCTCTTAAAAAGAAAAATAACTTACGCTAGTTGTAGCTTTTTCTTCCTTTCCCAAAGATAAAATGCTCCTGGTTTATTTTTAGTGCTTCTCACTGTGTTTGTTTATATGGTCAGATTTGTGGTTTGTTTTCACAAAGATTTAAGTTCGGATCTCCTCATAAGCACCTCTGTTCATCAGCTTTGAACACGGGTTCACAAAATTACCAGTTTGCAAAGTGAGTTTTAGGGATTTTAATGAACGCAACGAACACCAACATGGTTATAAAGTCAACTGTTTCCTATTCCTCTAAAGATAAAGTGAACGGACAAAAAAAAAGAGTGCTGAAAATTCATGCTTTCCACCTGTGAAAATCTGAAGTTGTCCCTTTAAAAGATTTGGCCATTTCTTCAAACTCAAACCCGTAGTACAAGTCAAGAACACAAATTATAGGAAGGCTGGTGGGTGCAGAACTTCCCTTCTTCTTTATTGATGATCAATAAACTCACGATATAAATAGAAATCAAATTAAGAGAGAATTGTCTATATGTTTTCATAATGTATCCAGGGCAACATAACATATATATAATTGAACCAAAGCTGACACTTGTCCGCCGATGCCCACGTATGTGCCCCAAGCAAATGAGTACAGGACAAAGGAATTAATTCTCTCCTGGAATTAATACAAAATCCGAAGAAAAAGAAAAAGAAAAAATCTATCTAGTTGAACTCATGCACCATCCCATATCCAAATACCAATGGCCTCAGCATGCAGAACTAGCCAAAACTTATATATATATATGTATACTCAGCATTACAAATCCTCATCCTTGTAACATGAATCACCAAGTGCCTTGGAATTTTTGTGCCAATTGTGATGATCATAATGATCAAATGCGGCAGCCCTCTAGGAATATCATGGATGGCTTTCAATTTCCTGACTTCAATTTCACCGAGGCAAATCCTTCGCTGGGAATTTCTCCTTCTCTCGATATAATTAGTTCACCGCAGCCGGTTGATCAAGTTTTTGAAGATCCTTTTGGGGACTTAATGGAAGTTTATCAGCTTTCTCAAACACCATCACTAAAGGCCAATAAGGGACAATCAAGTAGTGGGACACAGAGAAACCTGATCAAATGGTTCCTCTAAAGTCTCAAATTAGTGATATGAGTTTCATATAATTTGGCATGCTTATTGATGTAATTTAATTTGTTTTACATTTTCATAAATTTGGTTGCAGGATGTTGATGCATGATTTTGACACCAACAAATTCGCATGTGATGAAATGAGATCACACATGAGATGATTATGAGAGTTGATTAAGGTACTATTTTCACAATAGCATGCAAAGATGTAAAACAATAAAAGAGACAATAGGGTTTTTATAGTGCTTTAGATGGTTAAAGCGAGTCCTATATCCACTGTATTTTTTTTTATATATATTCTTGGTCGTTAGCCAAGATTACAATAGATCGCGAACTGCGATCTGGTGTTATAGGTGCTTGGTTTTCTAAGTATTTTTAAATAATGTAAAGTCAGTCTTTCTCATAGTGTATCTTTGCTATTTCTTTGTTGAATTCAAGAGTGTCTGATCTCAATTTTGTGAGAGAGAGCTGCCTATTTATACTCGTTGTACTCAAGGTAATGATTACAATTTTACAAGTGGATTGGTGTCATGCAGATCTTTCCTATCTTCCCATTGGTTGAGAATTCAAAGAATATCCTTAAATTAAATGAAGTTTGGATAGGTGTGCAAACTAAATTCATCTATAGGCAAAACTTGAGTCAGTTGGGTTGTTGATAGCTATATTCTTTGTGTCTTTGGAGACATGATAGATTCTAGACAGTGAGAGGTCTTCCTGAATTCTGATTGATGCTTGTTGACATCAACATAGGTTAGCCCTTTTTTAGGCATAACATAAGAGATGGAGTTCCCTGAAGAATTGATGAGGAGAAAACAAAATGATTCGGGCAATAAAAGAACACGTTCAAATGAATTGCATAATTTGCGTGAGAGGGTAAGATTGTTGACCTTTGAACTCTGTTAGGGTGCCTGTGCCCATCTCCCTCCTTTGTTTGGAGCATGCGTGCTCTCTTTTGGCCTTTGTTCACATTCAGTAACCCATATCCAAATACCAAAAAACTGACTCACCCAAATGGCTCCAACACAGAGCCAAACGAAAATCTGAACACATAATAAAAATGACAGATAGATTTCAACTCCAATTTCCAAGGCGCCAAAAGTCGTTATTCGGTTGGTTCCCGCTAATTCTTAAGGTTCTAACTAGTACTCTTCAATATTATTCGGAGTATAAATTATATAATACAGGGACTTAAACCGCTTGGAATTGCAATATTTGGTGGCAACATAAAATAAGGTTGTCAACATTACATTTTGATCCTCAGATAACTTGAACCAAAGGCTATATTCATACAAAAGACCATAAAGGCTATTATGACTAAAGAAGTGGTTTGAATAAATGGATATTAATCATACTTATATTCTTATTGAGTATTGACGATGGATATTAATCATACTTATATTCTTCCTGTAACCATATCTGCCATTGACAGTTTCGGAATTGGTTTTTCTAATAAGCTCTTTGTCGAAATTATCTCCTGTTAATTTCGAAATTTCACCTATTGTTTTCGTTATCGTAAATCCTCTTCCGATACCTTTTTCTGGATAAAAACTCAATCCTAAATCTTTATCAATTCTACTTCTAAAAGATTATTCTCTCTTGCCATTTTCCTTTTGGGTTTTAAAGTTGAGTTTCTATAGATGGTTTCACCGGTGAAGAAGTGGCTGCTTTTATAGGTAAACTTTGGTGTGTTTGACCAAATTACTTAAACCACAATAATTTGAAAAGATAATAAAAGAAAAATAGAAAGGAGATAAGAATCCTTTGGCTCTGATCTATGCCGTTTTGATTTTCACTACACCAAATACATTTTTGATATTTGACAAGAAGCCGCCATATTCTGACACAAATAATATTATAATCGTCGTAATCTTACTGTAACTGTAACTAAAACTGTTACATCAACTACCTCATCTCTGCAACTAAAGCTTTCCTATCAACTTTTTCTGAGGAGTCAACCCTGACTAGATGACTAAATTATTTTTCATCCTGGAGAGCTGAAGATGAGGTTCATCCACCGCAGCCGGCGCCGCAGCCCGCAGCACAATTGGAGCCATAAGCTGCATCAGCATTTGTAGCAGAATCTTTGTCCTTGGA